TGCTGGCTGGTGGCTGCACTGGTGAGGCTGATGGGGAGGGGGAAGCAAGGAAGGAGAGGGAGAGAAGGAGAGGAGGAGAGGAAACAAAGCAGGCAATGGGGAAGGCGAAGGTCACGAGAGCGGCGTTGGGTGGGCGATAGGGCGCTGGCTTACTGGCTGGTGGTTGCACTGGTGAGGCTGACGGGGAGGGGGAAGGAGAGGGAGAGAAGGAGAGGAGGAGAGGCAACATATCAGGTAGAGGGGAAGGTGGAGGTGATGAGAGAAGCATTGGGTGGGCGGTAAGGTGCTGGCTTGGTGGCTGGCGGCTGCACTGGTGAGGCTGGTGGGAAGGGGAAAGCAAGGAAGGAGAGGGAGAGAAGGAGAGGCAACAAAGCAGGCAGAAGGGAAGGTGGAGATGATGAGGGAAGCATTGGGCGGGCGGTAGGGCGCTGGCTTGCTGCGTGGTGGCTGCAGTTTAATACTGGTGTTATGAATCCTTTTCCAAGGGCGCTGAAAACATAGACTCACCATACGGAGATGGGGTGTAGTATGTGTGTTACATGCAGGTCTAGTCTAGCTCGGACTATTCGCACCATGGCTTGTCCTTACCATCTTCATTATCTTTCATTCCTACTTGCATCTCTTATTATCTCAAATCTTGCAGCGGAGGACATGGGGAAGGCACATGTGGATGCTGAAGTGGTCACAGCAGTGAGTGTTTTGACCTCACCGTCGTCCTTGTTTTTTCACTCCTGCCTGCTTCTCTCCTCCCCTCACCTCAACAGCTGCAGCGGAGGACATGGGGAAGGCACATGTAGATGCTGAAGTAGTCATAGCTGTGAGTTTTATTTCATATATTGTTTTAGTAACTTTTTGGGTATTTTCCGCCCATGCCCTAGTGTATGCATGCATTGCTCATAAATATAATCACTTCCCCTTTAGAGCACATCATACCTTTCTTCCTACACACACCAGACGGAGATTCTAACATCACTTTTTGACATCCCCACATCCCCACATCACCACTTCACTTTCTCCTTATCCCCACTCTCATTCCCCTACTCCCCCAATCCCAATTCTCCCCTGTCCTCCTCATGTCTCACCGCTTCCAAATCACAACCCCCCTTCTTCTACCCACCCTCAGTTCTACCCTCCCACCCACCCCGCTCCCATCATTAAAGCCCAGATGTGGAACCGGATCACCCCAAGCTTGCAGTTCGGCCTTCACAACTCCCTGCCGGCTATCTGCCCCCGCGCACTGCTCATCCAGTCCCACCCTCCATCCACCCCTCTCCCTCCCTTCAAATCCAGGTGTGGAACCGCATCAATTCTAGGTTGCTACAGCATTTTGGCCCTCTCAACTGCCTGCCGGCTATCTGCCCCCGCGCAATGCTCATCCGGTCCCACCCTCTATCTACCCCTCTCCCTCCCTTCAAGCCCAGGTATGGAATCACATCACTCCCGGGTTGCTGCAACGGTTCGGCCCCCACAACTCCCTGCCAGCCATCTGCCCCCGCCCACATCCACCCCCTCAACCTCAACCCACCCCTCTTCCCTTAAAACCCATGTGTGGAATCGCATCACTCTCGGGTTGCTGCAACGGTTCGGCCCTCACAACTCCCTGCTGGCCATCTGGCCCCGCCCTCATCCACCCACACCAACTCAACCTCAACCCACCCCCTCTTCCCCCTTAAAGCACATGTTTGGAACCACATCACTCCTGGGTTACTACAGCGGTTTGGCCCTCACAACTCCCTGCCAGCCATTCGCCCCCGCCCGCTCCTCGTCTTAAATGGTATGCCTGTGGTTCTGTGCCTCACTGCAACCAGACAGACTCATCAAAACTACGTCCCATCCAGATAACCCCCGCTCGCCTTGTAAAAAAAAAACAAAGCAAACTGGTTACCATTCCCTGTGGACCATCGGGCCCCGCCTGCTGCTCATTTTGAATGGTACGTTTTAGGTTCAGTTCAGTGCCTCTTTGCAACCAGAGATACCGCTGTATTGCATACTACCCTGTAAAACTAGTCGGGCTCTTGAAAACCCAAACAAATTGCAGCTGAAGCCAGTGCCAGGTCGTACCGTGTGGGCAAGTGAATGTGCATTAGTCTTCATGTCATTACAGAGAGCAGGCACTCGCATGGTATGTTTTTTAAGAATTCTCAAAAAACATATTCATTACAGAGAGCAGGCACTCATGAACTGAGTCTCTCACTCAGTTGCCTCTCTGCAGCTGCATTGACTCAATACGCCGGGGGAGATGGTCAACAATCTAAGGTGAATGGGGCCGGCACTCTTGAGTGTGCTGCACACCACTCACTCACTCGCCTCTCTGTTCCAGGCAGGGGAGGGCGATCCGAGGTGTCCCGCGGAGGGATTGAGAGAGGGGAGCAGTGCAGTGAGCAAGCTCTCTTGAGCTCCTTTCGCATCAGCTGAGCCTCTGTCACACCACTCACTCACTCAACCACTCACGTGCCTCTCTGGTGCCGCAATGACACAACTTGGTAGGGGTTTGAAGGGAGCAGTGCAGCGAGCAGAGGAGGCGTACAGTCGGTCAGGAGTGCCTCACCACTTTGTGGTACGTGTACGTACCCCGAAGCCGGGCTAAATTCCACTCTAGCTTGTAGAAGTGCACATGAGGGGTTGAGAGGAGCGGTGCAACAAACAGAGGGCCAGAGTCAACGTATAGGAAGGCAAAAATGGCACACCACTTGGAGGTTCACATGGGAGCTACATTGCGGTGGTCCACCCTAGCACCTCGACTCGAAGTGCGCGTGAGGGGATGAGGAGAGCGGTGCAGCAAGTAGAGAGGACGTATAGGACAGCAGGAGTGGCACATCACTTTGAGGTTCAACATGTGATTACTGATATGTCTAGCCTTGGCCTTGAGTAACTGCGAGCTCCGAGTGGCACCACACACCTACAAGTGTGGGTGGCTCTATGCTGTGTCTCGCCCTAGCTTTCACAAACTGCAGCAACCCTTGAGGTTTTCATGGGATTTTCTTCGAGTGAATTCTAAGAATTCTCAAAAATCATCATTTACACATTGCAGCAACCCTTTGGATTTCCTTCATCCTATCATCCCTCCATCAACCCATTATCCTTCCTTTCTCTCATCTCCACCCACCCACCCGACCCCACCGCCCATGTCCACACCACCCCATTTCTCGACCTCCTCCTCTCCTGTATCTGCTGCGCCCTTGCATGCCATGCCATGCGAGCTGGGGCAGTTCCATGTGGAGCAGGGAGTGGGGAATGAGGTGACGGAGGCAATGTGGGGCAAGACAATTACATGGCTGCAGAGACACCTGGAAGCGAAGTGACTGGGAACCAGCCTCTTTCTCCTCCTCCATTCTCCATATATCTGGCGTGGACTTCCATGTGAGTTGCATCAATTCCATGTGGAGCTCGGGATGGGGGGTGAGGTCGCGATGCAATCATATGGATGCAGACACACCTGGCAGCGAAATGACAGGGATTAGGTGAACCGCCCAGATGTCTACTTTGGCTTTGGGGCTATAACCTTTTGTAAATAGTCAGTCTGGTTGTTTCATAGCCCACCTGGTCTCTAGGCCTTGCGTTGAATCACTAAGGGTGTCTTTTCTACTACGTCAAACGCTCTTCCATGTAGAGTTTGGTCGATAAAATTGAAATTTTGGCCAACTCAATGTATTATATCTGCGAAATTTTCCTGATGTATTATATCATTGACCATACTTGTACTCGTGGTCGCCTTCATGCACAAAGTGGAAGTTTGTTTGTTTTGCTGAAAACTCACATGAGAACGTGTGGTTCTTGTACCTTATCGCACTCACCCTATAGGATATAACTTTGGCACTTCCTGGCTGGTCTTCCATGCGCACATCCTCGCCGTTTCTCCTCATCTCGGTACTCTTCCCGTTTTTCCCAATGGCTGCCGAATCGCCTGACAGCCATCCGGCAGCGCCCCCGCCCACGATTCTCAGTGAGTTCCTCGTCGCCGCAGTCGTTTCACGTCGCAAAGCGTCGTTAGACAACGCAATACATTTGTCCTGTCGCACAGCCGAGCGACGTCCTCTCGCCTCTTGAAGACGTCGCAAAGTTCCTCTCGCTGCTGTCAGCGGGGCCATCGTCGCCTCTCGCGAACGTCGCTCACATCGAACGCAATTCTTCAATCCAGCGTCTAGTGTGCTCATCGCGTGTCCGCGTTATGTGCCGCGTCGTTTGCAGCACTAAAGTGTCGTGGTGAAGTGGATTTCGATGTACCGCCTCCTCATTAGTACCGTTATCCCACAATTGGCAACTCACCATACGCTATCGTCTTCCCCACGTTCTCTCCCCTTCCACTCCGCCAACCCCTCCCCTCCCTCCTTGCACGTATCCGTCGCAGCGCGCGACAAGCAGGGCCTCTCGCTATTGTCTCACGTGACTGCAGCGCAGGTCGACCCGATCGCCGCCGTTCAGAAGTGAGCATAATCGATGTTGTCCGATAGTCACACTCGTCGGGTAGTCACACTTTTCTTTGAAGCACACATTTCACGTCTGCCTCTCTCTGCTCTCCCCTGCCACGCACCTTATGGCTTGTAATACCGACATCCACCGCGCTTGACCCAAGCCATCAGTTCCGCCACCGTCCCACCCCCTCACTCACGTCAACGCATGCCACGTCAGCACCGCCCTTGTCCTCCACTCAAAAATATTTCTGAGGCGCCTCAGCACAGCACCGGTCTTTGACCCCCGATTGAACCCGAAACCCATCACCCTTTCCTTGTATACAATGTGTCTCCTGTTGCTCACTGCTGCCTGCCGTGCTGCTTCCCCTTGTGTCCCCGCAATCCGAGTCCCTCTGTTAAACCCAGAACTCGAAAGCCTTTTCCTGTATTCTTCCCTCTCGGCTTTTCCTGTAGTTTTGAGGTGCCCCAAAGTGACCCAAAGACAAAAGCCACCCAGGCCTCCTCCCACTACCTGATCATTCTCCCTCTTCCTCTTCCCGTTTCCCTTCCCAGTCTGCCTGCCCTGCTCGCAGGCCAAGTTCAGCCCAAATGGCAGCCTCGTGGCCCACAAGTCAAGGTCACCCCCTCTTTCTCTACCTCACATCCCTTTTTCTTACCCCCACTCTCTCCCGTCCCCCACCTACCTCCTCCTCCCCCCACTTCCAGTGTGCCCTGCTCGCAGGCCAAGTTCAGCCCAAATGGCAGCCTCGTGGCCCACAAGTCAAGGTCACCCCCTCTTCTCCTATCTCGACTCTCACCCCCCCTCCTCCCCCCGTCCACCCCCCCCCCCCTCTCCAGCGTGCCCATCTCTGCTCGCAAGCCAAGTTCAGCCTCGTGGCTCACAGGCCAAGGTCGTTCCCTCCCCCCCCCACCTCCTTCTCTTACCCCCACTTCCCCCTATCCTCCCCCGCCTTTCCCCCACGCCTCCTTCCCCCTTCCCCTCTTCCCAGCCTGCCCTGCTCGCAGGCCAAGTTCAGCCCCGATGGGACCCTCGTGGCTAACAGGCCAAACTCACCCCCCGCTTCCCCCACTCCTTTCACTTACCCCCGCTCTCACCCCCCCTTCCCTTCCCCTTCAACTCCTTCACCTTTCTCAGCCTGCCCTGCTCGCAGGCCAAGTTCAGCCCGGATGGGACCCTCGTGGCTGTCGCACATGCTTGGGGACGAATGCCAGTGAGATGCCACGCTTGCTGCATCACCCGAACCCCACATGCCTCCAATCCCCTTCCCACCCCCTCCTCCCCCTTCCCCCTGTATGTACCAGTCTGCCCTGCTCGCAGGCCAAGTTCAGCCCCGATGGCAGCCTCTTCTCTCCTCTCCTCGTTCACCTTTTTCGAGACACCAACCCCACTCCTACCTTCCCATTCCTACCCCCCGCCCCCCGTTCTTCCCAGTCTGCCCTGCTCGCAGGCCAAGTTCAGCCCGGATGGGACCCTCGTGGCCGTCGCAGCAGCGGGCGGCGGCGTTCGTCTCATTCACGTGCCGTCCGGCGAGCAGCGGCTGCACATGCCTCTGGAGGGCGTGCAGGCGCTCGCCTTCTCACCCAAGGGCTCGTACCTGCAGGTATGCTGGCACGTATGCTTGCAGCATGGCATGGCAGGTGACGACAGGTGTTGGTGAGGTGTCTCGTCTCAGTCTCAGCTGTGCCAGCAGCCAGCAGGTGGCAGGTGTGTGCGGCTGCACATGCCTCTGGAGGGCGTGCAGCCGCTAGCCGTCTCGCCCAAGGGCTCCTATCTGCGTGTAAAGAGGTTGTTTTTGAGACGTCTCAAAAATAGCCAGCAGCCAGCAGGTGGCAGGTGTGTTCGGCTGCATGCCTCTGGAGGGCGTACAGGCGCTAGCCGTCTCGCCCAAGGGCTCCTATCTGCAGGTGGGTGGCAGTTGTGAGAATTCTAAAGCTGTAGTCACTTTTTGAGAATTTGACGCATGTAAGAATAGGTGGCAGGTGGCAGGTGGCAGGTGGCAGGTGGCAGGTGCGCCCCTGTGCGTGCTGTCTGGGTGTTTGCCTGCATCGTGCAGAGCATTATTATTGCCTCTCTGCAATTCTTTAGACCTCTCGGCACATGCAGACAGCACACGACTTTGTCACTTGCATGGCACGCCTCTCCTCTTCACCACCACCATCAGCTTGCTGTGAGGCCGTCTGTGTGTTTTCCCTCACTTGCCATGCCTTGTCAACCAGCCCACCGCAGCTGTTTCAGTGGCCTACACTACACTACACCAGCAGCAGCAGCATCGGGGGCGGGCAGGTGGTGAGCAATCAGACGGTGAGGCGCCTCAAAACCAGTGCCCTACACTACACTACAGCAGTCTAGTTTTGAGGCGCCTCAAAACCAGTGCCCTACACTACACTACAGCAGTCTAGTTTTGAGGCGCCTCAAAACCAGTGCCCTACACTACACTACAGCAGTCTAGTTTTGAGGCGCCTCAAAACCAGTGCCCTACACTACACTACAGCAGTCTAGTTTTGAGGCGCCTCAAAACCAGTGCCCTACACTACACTACAGCAGTGTAGTTTTGAGGCGCCTCAAAACCAGTGCCCTACACTACACTACAGCAGTCTAGTTTTGAGGCGCCTCAAAACCAGTGCCCTACACTACACTACAGCAGTCTAGTTTTGAGGCGCCTCAAAACCAGTGCCCTACACTACACTACACCAGTCTAGTTTTGAGGCGCCTCAAAACCAGTGCCCTACACTACACTACAGCAGTCTAGTTTTGAGGCGCCTCAAAACCAGTGCCCTACACTACACTACAGCAGTCTAGTTTTGAGGCGCCTCAAAACCAGTGCCCTACACTACACTACAGCAGCACCAGCAGCTGGGGGCGGGCAGGCGGTGAGCAGTCTGACGGTGCGGCGGTGTCTCTGTGTTGACCCTCTTTTCTTCTTCACTCCCCCTCTCTCTTCCCACCATGGCAGGTGTTTCAACGCCCCTCAGCAACAGTGGGGGGCGGGCAGCAGCCGGAGCCCAATCTGACTGTGCTGACCTGACCCCACTGTTCCTCTACCCATTCCCCCCTCCGCCCCTCCCCCCACCACGGCAGGTGTTTCAGCGGCCGTCACCACCCCCTGCAGGGGGCGGGCAGGCAGAGCCCAATCTGACGGTGTGGCGGGTGAGCGTGTGCATGCGTTGAACCTCCTATTCCCCTCTTCCCTGTTCCCCCCACTTCCACCGCAGGTGTTTCAGCGGCCGTTACCACCCCCTGCAGGGGGCGGGCAGGCAGAGAGCAATCTGACGGTGCGGCGGTGGGTCTGTGTTAACCCTCTATTCTTCTTCCATTCAACCTCCCTCTTCCACCCCTCCCATGCCAGGTGTTTCAACGGCCCTCAGCACCAGCGGGGGGTGGGCAGGCAGAGCCCAATCTGACGGTGCGGCGGGTGGCACTGCACTGACCGTCTCCTTCCCTTCACTCCCCCTGACTTCTCGTCCCCCTACATGCCAGGTGTTTCAAAGGCCCTCAGCACCAGCAGGAGGGGGCCAGGCAGAGCCCAATCTGACGGTGCGGCGGGTGAGCGACGGGGAGGTGGTGTGGCGGCAGATGCAGAAGACTTTCAACTCTGCCGCATGGTGGGTGGATGGGGAGTGGTATGGATGGATGTTGCGGCATGGGGTTGGGCGGAAAGGTGGGTGAGTAACAGAGAGCAATAGGGGTATACTGAGCGCGGGGGAGGTGATGTGGCAGCAGATGCAGAAGACTTTCAACTCTGCCGCATGGTGGGTGGGTGGGGGGAGGGATATGGATGGCGGGGGCTATGCGTGGGGGGGCTATGGGGAGGGAGTGGTTGGGTTGGGTGAGCGACTGGGAGGTGATGTGGCAGCAGATGCAGAAGACTTTCAACTCTGCCGCATGGTGGGTGGGTGGGGGGAGGGATCTGGATGGCGGGGGCTATGCGTGGGGGGGCTTGGGGAGGGAGCGGTTGGGTTGGGTGAGCGACTGGGAGGTGATATGGCAGCAGATGCAGAAGACTTTCAACTCTGCCGCATGGTGGGTGGGGGGTGGATGGTGAGGAAAGGAGATGATGGGTGTGTGCAGTGCATGGTGGGTGGTTGCATGGTGGCATGGCATGGGTGGTTGAGTGGGTGCATGCACGAACGAGCATGCACAACGACAGGGGATAATGGAGTGGCTGAATGGCTGAATCCGATGGGGAGGTGGTGGAGGGGAGGGATATGGGAGTGCAACGGACTTACAGTGCGGGACGCTGCGGATGGGTTTAGCTGCATGCAAGCACGATGAGCGAGAGATGTAATAGGGTGTGTATGGTGAAGTGAGGGGATGGAGCGATGGGGAGGTGGTGGTTGAATGAAACAAGTGCACAGGGCACACTTTTTCACACAGCACAACCCCTAAACCCTGGATGGACTCATCGGCACAAGCCCTGTTTGAGTAGTTTTGCACAATCACCCTCACCTGCACACACCCCTTTTTTCCCCTGCAGGCCCAGCATGCAGTTCAGCGCAGATGAGTCCGTGGCTTGCCGCCCGGTGAACGGCGAGGTGCAACTGTTCACCGGAGCTGACCTGGCGGCCGGCGTGGCCGCCCGGCTCAAGGTGCCCGGGATGACGTCAGCACAGCTGGCGCCATCTCCCCCATCCCACATCGCTGTGTTTGCTCCCGAGGCCAAGGTGCGTTTGTGTGTGTGTGAGTGTGGATGCTGCAGTCTGTGCGTGGTACACCATGTAGAATAGAACTGTACACCATTGAGTGAGTTACAACTGGCTGGCACCCTCGCCGCCGTCTCGCATCGCTGTGTTCGCTCCGGAAGCCAAGGTACGTGTATTGCTTACAGTTTGCTGTGTGCGCACACACAGTGCAGTGCTTCTTTGAACTGTAAGCAATATGCTGCATCTGGCATCATCTCACGCCGCCCCCGTCCCATGTCGCCGTTTTTGCTCCGTTTGGAGTCGACTCAAACGCCATCATGATCCCTGTGTGTGACTACAAATGCCGTCAGGCTCACCTGGTCTATGTGAACCAGACAGGCTCACCTGGTCTGGAGGCTCACCTGGTCTGGAGGCTCACCTGGTCTGGAGGCTCACCTGGTCTGGAGTAATCACGAGGGCTGCACAAACAAACCTGCATGGTCCCAGTGTGTAGGGGCGTCTCAACACATGTGGCTTTGCTTGCCCCACTCCACATCCCCTCTGCCTTTTTCCCCAGGGAGCCCCAGCCAGTGTGCGAATTATCACCCGAGATAGCGCCACCCCTTTGTCCTCCTCCTCTGCTGTTGCAATGGCCACGTGGTCGTCCCTATATATGCCTCTTCTTCTTAACATGTTCTTCTTAACACATGCTTCTTTCTGCCTCCCCTGCCCCCATTCCCTCTGCAATGCTCCCTCCCAGGGAGCCCCAGCCAGTGTGCGCATCTTCACGCGTGACAGTCTGTATGGCGCTCAGCTTTATGTCCTTTGTCTCCCTTCCCTCTTGCTCCCGCTCTCCTTTCTGCCACCCCCCCAGGGAGCCCCAGCCAGTGTGCGCATCTTCACGCGTGACAGCGCCGCTCCTTCCTCCTCCTCCTCCGCCGCCTCCGCCCCACCCGCCCCCATAGCGAGACGCAGCTTCTTCAAGTGCAGTGCAGTGCGGCTGGTGTGGAACGTGGGGACCACTGCTGTGCTGGTATGGACGCACTCTGACGTGGACAAGACCAATCAGAGCTACTATGGCGAGTCGGGGCTGCATTTTTTGGCGGCTGATGGGAGCTTCGAGGGTGCCGTGCCTCTATGTGAGTGTGATGTGACTGTATGTGATTGTGACTGTATGTGAGTGTGAGTCTATGTGAGTTGACTGTATGTGCTACTTTGTGAGTGTGTGTGTGTGACTTTATGTGCTATGGCGAGGGCTGCATTTTCTGGCGGCTGATGGGAGCTTTTAAGGTGCCGTGCCTCTGTGTGAGTGTGATTGTACGTGTCGCTATGTGAACGTGACTGTATGTGTTGCAGTGTGAGTGTATGTGCTCCTGTGTGAGTGTGTTTGCATCAGAACCATTGCTGTAACCTGTAACTGAGATTGCTGCCTTTTTTGGCTGTGTGAATAATGCAAATGCCTTCGCCAATGCAGCGACGAGCCAGATGCCCTGGAAGCATTGAGATGAGAACCACCGCCATGCCTTGCCTTGCTGCGACGTTTTTCTGCCTGTACGCTGTAGACATTCCCCCCTTCCTCCCGACTCAGCCGTCCGCTGCAGATCATCACTTCTGCATTCCCACGCCTGTCTTCCCTTCCCTTCCTTTCCCACTCCCCCCTCCGCCCGTGCCCTCCCTTGGCAGCAAAGGAGGGGCCGATTCACGATGTGCAGTGGTCGCCCAATGGGAAGGACTTTGTGGTGGTGCATGGATGTGAGTGGTACACGTGTAGTTGTAGCACCCACATGGCACCCACATGGCACCCACATGTGATGCAGGCATGTGAGTGTGGTCGCCCAATGGGAAGGACTTTGTGGTGGTGCATGGATGTGAGTGGTACACGTGCAGTCATAGCACCTACATACATGGCACCCACATGTGGTGCATGCATGTGAGTGGGGTGCATGCATGTGAGTGGGGTGCATGCATGTGAGTGAGGTGTATGCATGTGAGTGGGGTGTATGCATGTGAGTGGGGTGGATGCATGTGAGTGGGGTGCATGGATGTGAGTGGGGTGCGTGCATGGATGTCCACGTTTTTCCCCAGTTTTTTGGGTATGATTTGTGCACCAATCGGTCGGCATGACATCTACCGAACATGAGTTGCCTTCAGATAAATGCTACTGCTTTCATCTTCACAGTGAAGCTTGCTTTCTTATTGCCATCAGGTTGCACTATTTATGTTCTGAGTGTCCCTTCGCGCAAGATGAGCCCTGCTGTTTTTGTTCGTCCAAGGTGTGTCCAGCTCATTGCACTGTTTAATACAGTTGATGAAGTAAACACACCTTGGACGAGCAAAAACGGCAGAGCTCATCTTGTGCGAAGAGACACCCACAATTTTCTGAAGCCATTGCTGCCAGTCATGCTAGCCAAGGCCACACTTTTCGTCACTGCAAGCCCCTCTTTGAATTTGAATTCCACAGCCCCTCCATTCCCAGTCATGCGTGTGCTCTCCCACCCCTCCTGACCTTCTCCTTTCCTCCTTTGCCCTGTCCCCACCCTGTGCCCGCCAGTCATGCCAGCCAAGGCCACACTTTTCGACAGTCGCTGCAAGCCGCTCTTTGACTTTGGCTCTGGCCCGCGCAACCTGGTGCGCTGGAGCCCGCACAGCCGATGCGAGTATGTGGCAGGGTGTGTGATTGAACAGAGAGTAGGTGGAAGGGGGGAGTTGGATTCAGGAATCCTGTGGGGGGAGCATGTGACTGCTGTGACTCCCCTCACGTCCTGCTTTGACTTCAAATCTGGTCTGCGCAGACCAGATTCGCTGGAGCTCCCACGGTGGATGTGAATGATGGGAGGTGTGTGTGATTGAGCAGGGGTAGTTTGCGTGCAATGGTAGGCAGAAGGAGGGTTCGGAGACGCTAGAGGGTGTGTGTGTGTGCGTGTGTGTATGTGATGGTGAGGGTTGGGGGCGTGAGAGTATGGCAGGTGATGTGAGTGGATTCGGGAACCATGGCGGTTATGATGTGGTGGCTGTGACCTCCTTCGTGCCGTGACTACTTTCGAGGCGCCTCAAATTACGTTTTCAGACGCCTCAAAAGACAGGCGCAAAAGACGTTTTGAGGTCCTTTAAAAGGAGTATGCCAGGTCATGTGAGTGGATGCGGGAACCGTGATGGTTATGACGTCATTGTTGTGATGTGACCTCCTTCGTGCCTGTGACATTAATCAACATCTTTGCCTAGCCTTCCAACAGTAGAGCGGACGACATCCCGTGACATTAGCAGAGCGAACACAACTGAGGCCTACTTGTCTTGGATGTGTTCCCTCTGCTAGCTTGTAACTGGACGGAGCCTGCTTGCACACGTGGTGGTGTACGTCTGTTACCCTTTCCATCTTCCCACCTTTCCTCGTAAAAAATGTTATTCTTCCCCTCTACCTTGTTTGCTTGTGTCCTCCTTCCTGCCTTCGTTCCCTTCCAGTCATCTGTCTTGCTGGATTCGGCAATCTTCCCGGCGACGTTGTGAGTGAATCGTGTTACCAACCAACGTGTGTGTGTGAGTGAGCGTTTGTGTGTGTCGGTGGCACTGTGAATATGTGATTGACAGTGTGACATTGTGACTGAGCCTATCCATATGTTGGTAACATTCTGAGTGTGCCGGTGAAGTGAAGGTATGATTGAGATTGTGTGCTGGTGATGTTGGGAGTGCATCTTGCTATCAACCAATAATAATGATGTGTTTGTGTGGGTTGGTGCATTTATGTCCGGCTGTGACATTGCCAATGAGTCTGTGTCACAGCCAGACACAAATTCCCCAACCCACAAATGAGCAGCACACTCATAATTATGTGTGTGTTGTTGACCTTCGGAGTGAGAGATTGAGTGTGCTGCTGATGTTTTGTTGTGAGAGTGGTTGTGCGGTATTGTATGTTGTAACTCCTCACACACATTCAAGACTGTGTGTGTCCTAAGGCCAGTGGTTAGGTACAGGCATCAGTCCGTCGCACCTAAAAAGGGGATTTTTGAGAAATCTCGGAAAACCCAGAACCCCGAGGCCATGGTTAGGTACCGTCATCAGGCCGTCGCACGCACCTAAGTAAGCACCAGGTGAACCACTAACATGTTGCTCGTACATGTTGATGTTACTTTTGTGAATTCTTACAAGTCGCACCTAAGTGAGCACCACTTGAGCCGCCAAGGTCTTACTCGTCTCGTACACATAGCATGGAATGCGGTCTTACTAACAATCCCGCATGCCCTCCCGATGCCTCTCTTTCTCTGTCCCTGCATGCCCCTCTCTCAGGAGGTGTGGGAGAGCACGCGGCTGAAGCAGCAGGGGAAGGCCAAGGCGCCGTGCGGCGTGTCAGCCGAGTGGAGCCCCGACGGCCGCACTTCAAAATTCGCCCCTCTCCCTTTCCCCCTGCCCTTGCCCTATCTCCCTGCCCCTTTCCTTGGCCGTCCCCCTGTTCCCGCCCTGTCCCTCTCACAGGAGATTTGGGAGCGAACGCGTCTGAAGCAACCAGGGAAGGCCAAGGCGCCGTGTGGAGTGTCAGCCGAGTGGAGCCCCGATGGACGGCACATTCTCGTCGCCACCACTGCTCCCCGCCTGCAAGTCGACAACGGGTGAGCAGATACACCCCCACACGCCCATTTCCCACTCTTGATTAGCTCTTTGAGAGGTCAAGTCGAGTGGAGCCCCGACGGCCGGCACATCCTTGTTGCCAACACGCACTCCGGCTTCAGGTTGACAACAGGTGAGCTGACAGATGACCGCTACCCACTCACGAAAATAGCTTTGAGCGCGCTTGCAGAGATATCAAGGCCAAGCAGAGCGGAACCCCGATGGCCGGCACATCCTTGTTGCCAACACGCACTCCGGCTTCAGGTTGACAACAGGTGAGCTGACAGATGACCGCTACCCACTCACGAAAATAGCTTTGAGCGCGCTTGCAGAGATATCAAGGCCAAGCAGAGCGGAACCCCGATGGCCGGCACATCCTTGTCGCCTCCACTGCTGCCCACCTGCACATGGACAACGGGTGAGCCGAATAGGCTTCTGAACAGCTCACTGACATGGTCCCCCCATCTGAAGGTGGACAACAGGTGAGCCGATAAATGCTCAATACCCTCCTGCAAGAGTTAGCCGCTCTGACCCAAATGGACCGGGTAGTGATCCATTCAGAGCGCAGCAGAGTGGAGCCCCGACGGCCGGCACATCCTCTTCGCCACTACCGCCCCCCTCCAGCAGGTATACAACGGGAGCTGATAGATGCCAAAAGTTTCCTGTTTCCACCAAAAGTGCTCCCCAGGTTTCGGCTTGAGCCACATCAAGCTGACTGTTGGCTGCTGCACTAACTGACTATTGAGGCGCCTTCAGATGTCTTCCTTACTGCATCTCCGCATATCCCTCCTCCCCCAACCCACCCTGTTCCTCTCTCAGCTTCACGGTCTTCTAGTACAATGGCTCTTTGCTGCTGTGCCACGTGTGCCGTGCTGTGCCACGTGTGCCGTGCTCTGCCACGTGTGCCGTGCTGTACCACGGGTGCACTGCTCTGCCATACTCTTCATGTTATGGTATCAAGAGTATGTGCTTTGTGTTTGAATACATAGCATATATTTGTGTATAATCCTGCTAGTGTTACTGTTACACCCCATGCTGTACACTTTGGGGCCGACGCGCCCCAACCTATTGTGGTTGGGCACGCCCCAACCCTTTTGACCACATTTGACGGGGGTTCCCATCCCAAGTAATGGTTGGACCATCCATCTAACCAACCAATTATTGGCCCCCCATCCCTCCCCCCCCCCTTCCTCCCCCAATTATTGGTTGTCGACGACCCCACCCCTCCAGACATCATTGGGTGGCAAACCTCATTGGTCCACCGATGATGGTGTGGGCACTCATCCGAGTTCCCCACCATTTGCTCTCCTATGTAACACATTCAGCTCTTAAAATTTCTAACACTTTGCTCTGTTTTGCTCCCCTCTTCTCTCTCTGCTCTTACTGGAATTACCTCGCATTAGCGAACATCCTGCTTTTCGATTCGACTCAAAACACGACTGAAAGCATGACCTCACAGGAGCGAACATCCTGTGTTTCCCCTTGTCCTTTTCCATCCATCCTCTTGCTGCGGAGATAACTTTAGCAACGGGAGCTAGACTACGGGCTAGGCACGGATGCTCGTGTGATCTCTGCGTTCGTTCCTTAGTCGTTTACTTGTGCTTGCACTGCTTGCTGGTTCACAGGGAAATTTGGCAAGAGTTTCACTAGCAAAAGTTCACAACAATGATAGCAACAACATTGGCAACACAGACTACATCAGACCTAGCAAGGCTGCTGGTCGACTGCCAGCGCAGCACGGTCGACCGCGTGCCAGCACGACATGGTCGACCGCGCTCTAGCAGAGCAGAGTCGCGGCTTGCCAATGTTGCAAGTCCGCGGTGTGCCAACGCTGCAGCAAGTCGGCTGCACAGCGTTGCACCCGCCTGACAACGGTGCACCAGCTTTGCAGGTGCGTGCAGCTGGTTGGCGCCCAACGCCCCGTCACATGCCCAACGCAGACACTCCACCCGTGACGGCGCCCACCAGCCACGTCGACCTCGGGATACCACCCCCGAGGTCGTCCTCGCAGAAACCACCCCCGGCGACTTTCGCACACGTCGCCCGGGTATCCTGGTCGACCGGGTATCCCGCGGCCCCCGTGGCCCCCGGTCGTCCATCCGCGGCCACCGCGGTCCCCGCGGTCCCGTGGTTCCGTGGTTGTCTCCCGCGGCCTCCCGCGGCCTTCCGCGGACCCGCGGTCTCCCGCGGCCTCCCGCGGCCCCGCGGTCTCCCGCGGCCTCCCGCGGCCTTCCGCGGCCCCGCTGTCTCCCGCGGCCTCCCGCGGCCTTCCGCGGCCCCGCGGTCTCTCGCGGCCTTCCGCGGCCCCGCGACCTCCCGCGGCCTTCTGCGGCCCCGCGGTCTCCCGCGGCCTCCCGCGGCCTTCCGCGGCCTTCCGCGGCCCCGCGGTTTCCCGCGGCCTTCCGCGGCCCCGCGGTCTCCCGCGGCCTTCCGCGACCCTGCGGTCTCCCGCGGCCTCCCGCGGCCTTCCGCGGCCCCGCGGTCTCCCGCGGCCTCCCGCGGCCTTCCGCGGCCCCGCGGTCTCCCGCGGCCTTCCGCGGCCCCGCGGTCCCGCGGCCTCCCGCGGCCTTCTGCGGCCCCGCGGTCTCCCGCGGCCTCCCGCGGCCTTCCGCGGCCCCGCGGTCTCCCGCGGCCCCCCGCGGCCTTCCGCGGCCCCGCGGTCTCCCGCGGCCTTCCGCGGCCCCGCGGTCTCCCGCGGCCTTCCGCGGCCCTGCGGTCTCCCGCGGCCTCCCGCGGCCTTCCGCGGCCCCGCGGTCTCCCGCGGCCTCCCGCGGCCTTCCGCGGCCCCGCGGTCTCCCGCGGCCCCGCGGTCTCCTGCGGTTGTCGAGGTCGGCTCCGCCCAAGCGAGGACGGGGCCAAACACTACTCTCGTTGACACTCCCCTGCCGCGTTCACGCTTGGCCCCCCCCAGCCCACACGGCAGCACTGCTCGAAGAATAGCCCGTCGGCGTGCACACACAGCACGCCGGTCACCGCACCAGCCATGCAAGAGGGCATGGCACCTACTGCTGCACGTCGTTGTCACCGTCGCCCATATCGGCCAGGCGCACTTGGCCAATTGCAACGGAGCACCGGTTGAAGGTCGGGTAGTGCAGCGGCCCCACGGCCCCGCGGTCTCCCGCGGCCTCTCGCGGCCTTCCGCGGCCCCGCGGTCTCCCGCGGCCTCCCGCGGCCTTCCGCGGCCCCGCGGTCTCCCGCGGCCTTCCGCGGCCCCGCGGTCCCGCGGC